GGATATGAGGTGTTCTTGCCGACAGGCCAAATGGTCGTTCGGAAGTTTACCGGCATTCAAAAAGTCAATATTTTTATCTGGTGTAGCACACACATCCGTGTGTGCTACAAGGGACCACGAAATTATTTTTAAACTTCTTCTTCTTTACCTGTAATCCTCAACTCAGAAGAGAACTGTGAAATCACGCAGTCGTGACATGCTAGGGCACCGGTGCGATGACCCCAAGCTTTCACCGTGCTTTTTAAGCACACCGTAGAACTTGGCATTCGCAAGTAATGATATGTTCCGTCAGGGCACTCATTCAACAGAAACGCGAATTCAAATATCCATGAACGAATTGATTGCTGACGAGCGCATACATCCGAGCGACGCAGTTCTCGTTGTCCAATGCGTGAGTTGGGGTCGGCTGACGTCATTTCGGCCTTTGTAGGCATTGTAAAGAGGATATTTAGAACCATACACACATGATGATAACGTCATAGCACACTGACATTAAGGAGCACAAAACGGGCCCAGCTACAGAAAATAAATATTACACTCGTAAGAAATAAATACGTCTGTAACTTGTTAGTTACAAAGGCGAACACACCTCTGAGCATCTAACTCAAACTCAAACTCTTTATTTCTCTCCGTTTTGGAAGTTTAATAGTATGTGTTCATGCATTGTCATATAGCAGGACATTTCATATACGTCACTTGAGCAAACGCCAGTTTTTCACTTGAAAAACAAACAAAAAAACACTGCGATCAAATGCAAGCTATTGCAACGAAAGCAAGTTATATCGAAATCTTCAGATCTGCCGATTCGTAAAATTGGCGATTAGTAAAAAAGGTTAAAGATCGCAGGAGCTTCCTCGCTGAAAAATGCTGTGATCATTCGGTAACCCAGCGCTGAAACAATTTTCCCTAGGTCCTACACGCGCCGTATAGACGATTGCAAGCTGGGCGACTTCCCGCCGCCATGTCTCTGCTCCAGCAGGCACGCCCGTGCGATTACGAGCTTGCGGAAGCTACGTTCACCCGCGCGTTGCACGCGCTTGCACGCATGGGGCACCACTTGTGGCGCCATGCTGCTTGCAATTGTCTATACCTTTCTTTAGGATTATCAGAAATTCAGACCTTCAAAGGAAGCTAGAACAATGCAAAAATGTTATCCTAAAAGCTATGTGGAGCACGAACTTGTACTCCACATAGCTTTTAGGATAAAATTTTAGCATTTTTCTAGCTGCTTCTTTTTGCAGGGGTTGTGGTGACGTCAAAACGCCGAGATCTGAGTGGCTCCGATTAAAGGAGAGTGGGTAGACCTAAAAGCAAGCTGCCTTGAGGTCCACCCACTATTCTTTATTCAGAACCAATCAGAGCTTGGCATTCTGACGTCACCACAACCCCTACTAAAAGAAGCAGACGAACGTGCTCTGCGCATATCGTAAAATCGTTGATTAGTATGCTTGGGAGTTGTGTGAATATTTATACAGCGTGTAGTTGGTCAGCCATTTCAAAGTTGCGACGAGTCACTCGATGTAGATGAGCAATTTAGCCAATGCAGTATAACCGCTAGCTCTATAGGTCTTTAACGTGCACCACGCAGTAGTGATACACAACCGCAGGCCGGTACGATGCTCATCCAGATCGAAACGGGCAGGGGTGGGGATTGAACCCAGGTTCCGTGATTGATTAGTACAAAACGTAAACATTGCAAGAGCTTCCTCGCTAAAAGTTTGTGGCCATGCGGTTACCTGGTGCTGAAACGAATTCCCCAAAGCCCAACATGCGACGCATAAATTTCGCATCGATTCTCAGACACTCCAACGTTCAAATAAAGCTAAGAAAATGCGAAAATTGCATGCTAAATGTCTTATCGATCCTCAAACACATCCGGAAACCCGAGCACCGCTAAGGCGATATTAATGATGCTGTCGCACAGGTGCTAATATCCAGAGCGATCTTGCACAGAAAGGGTATAAAGTATCATTCTTTCAGATCTTCACGTTATACCTACGTCAGAAAGCACGAAGAAGCCTTAAATCGTCGGCAAGCTGCGGCACATCACGACTCCGCGCACCGAACAAACTCGCAACCACCAGCTCTGGGCGCTGCCATCTTACCGATGACATCACGGCTCTTGAGAGGTCACGTGACGAGTCGTCACTCGGTTGCTACAGAAACCGAGCCAGCTCAGCTCGTTGCTATGGTACCGCGTGTGACCAATCGCGGTGAGAGGCGGCACATGGAAAAGCGTGGCGCTACTCTGGCAGCTACGCTGCCATATCGAGTGGCTCTAGTTGTCACAAGACTGCACGTTTATTCGTCGTCGTCGTCGTTTGCCTTATTTTTCGGCGCGGCCGATCTATCAAGATCGGGCGTTTAAAGTAAAAGAAGAAAACAAAACTTCGGTCAGCCGCGTGAACCGCAGCGCGTGCAGCGTCATTCGCTCCCCAACAAAGAGAAGACCCCTTCGAATCAGTGGGATATAGGCGTGTGTCTGGGGAGCTGCTATTATGAGTCTCTCTAAGGCCATGAGCCTCTCTAAGGCCAGGAACTCGAGGGAAGATTTGAGGCGGTTCCGATCACCATCACCGTTCTGGAGGCGGCGACAACATGAAGCCTCCTGCGTAAATCGCAGCCGCCTTCGGAACTCTTCGAGGTTGCTGAACAGCTCGGAAGCCAGTGGCGGAGAGGTGGACAATGGGGCAGCAGTCGAAGAGGAGTTAGCAGAGCCGCTGCCCAGAAAAAAGCTTCAGAAGAGGAAAACGCGAATCCTGACCCGTCGTCGCTGGACGTGTGGCCGACAGCTTTGTGAGCCCAACCAAGTGCCCGAGGAAGATGCACAGCTGCTTAGCTCTCCATCACCCAACACGCCACGTCATGCCAGATCAGCCAGCTACGAGAGTACGTGGTCGCGGCGTGAGTGTAGCGACCCAAATCACCAAAGTACTGCATGCGACAAGTCGCAAAGCCTGGGCACCGTCGAGTATAGCCTGAAGAAGCGTAGTCGTTGTCAAAGCCTTGTCAATCTGAGTGCGTTTTCAGACTTGACTCTTCCGTTCGCAACCAGTGAACATGAAGAGAGGAGCGACGCAAGACTACGGATTCTGGCGGAGCCGTCTTTGTTTCCCCGAGCAGTCCACTCTGGCTGGATCAGCACATCTCGGTTCAGAAAGGACAACTGCATAAAGTCAACTTCAAACGTCCAAGGAAGTCAACTAGACTGGGCGTATTCCGTTCGTAACAACAGTCAAGCAACGTCAGCGCCTCAACCTCGGAAGTGTCTAGAATCAAGACACGACTATCATAAACGCCTTCATGATAAAAAAGACACGAGAAGCCAGCTGTCAGTGCAAGATCTGGTCGACAACAACCATCGACAGCTGACTTCAGACGCAATATGGACATGCAAGCTAAAAGAATCCACTGGCGCCTCGAGGCCTGTTTCATCAGTGTGGTCGGACTTCAAGTTGGAGAACGCGATGGAGAATTCCGCTATATCGATTAGTGGTCTTAGACGAACTTTACCATCTTGGCTTGAACTAGACAGCGACACGAGCTTCTCCGCGTCTTCAACTGGTGTTATGCCGCATTTCTCGGGTTTAGAGTCTCGTCCTGCTAGGAATTCTGATGAGGACATTGCTCTCATAACGCAGTCTTCCATTAGTGGCGCCACATCCACAGAAGGTGCAAACACAAAATCTATCACCCCTGAAACTGTTTTACAGACTCCCGTAATTTTACCACATAAAAGTAATAACTCAGAAAAACTTTCTATTGTGCAAGACTCTGCTCATGCTCCCGACCTCACCAAGGAAACTAATCATGGTGTCGGTGATTACTCGAACGTTCGTTCCAAATCGTGGAAAACATACCAAGCGTTGCTTAGGCGAATATCTCCTGTACTCGGAGAGCGTGCCATAGAACTTCCTCTAGTCGAGACCCACATATTCCACAGCCACATTATGCGAAAGGGCGGCTTCCCCCAAAAAGCTGAGCGAGCCCACGTCATCCGGTGCAGGGTGCCGACTGAGGTTCCCCAAGGAACTAAAACCTCTTTCAGCTTTGATATGCTCTCTATATCCTCTAAAGGGACGAAAGATTCGCAGCCTCCCCTACTTGACCGTTCTTCCCCTTGCGCTATGAGCAACATAAAGCAAGACGGAAAGCATCTGCTCAAAGGGCTCAGAGCGACAGGAGCCAGCGGTTTTCTCCCACTGAACAAGGCAGCTGATGCAAAACGCCCGCAATCACCTTCTCGGAGTTTCCATTGCAGCCCGTCGCACAAAATCGTAGGAGCCATGGATTCTCATGGCGTCATTGTCAAGAAAACAAACAGCACTACGTTGCTTCAAGAACCTCTGACTGTAGAGTCAGAGCAGCCATTCAGACACATCATACTGTGCAAGCGCAAGTTGCTGCTATGCCCATTCATTCCGCTACTGGCGTTGGCATTAATATTTGCAAGCACATCCACGTTCTTTCATAACTCGAAGCCTACTATGCCTCTGCGGAATCATACTGAGCATACATCCAGAATATTGTCAACGGGTAGAAATAATACCACGATATATCACAATGCTTCCCAAGAGGACTACGATACATGCTCTACGGTCTTTTGCAAGCGAAATGGAGCCTATCTGTATGGCCTTTTGTCCTGGCACCTAGACCCTTGTGACAACTTTTATCGGTTCGTCTGCAGTCGCTGGAAAAGCGTCGCTAGTGCCACCAACACTGACCTGAAAGTTGATGTCTCGGCCACTGTTTGGGACGATCGGAGCCATCATCTGGAATACAGTGTGCACGCTCTTTTGCAAAGAAGCCACACGGCGCAAGACGTAACACACCTCAAACGACTCTTCTACGAGTGCATGAATACACGCCAATTGGACATTGATGACTGGGCACCGATGCTCGAACTACTATGGCAGGTAGGCCTGGAAGGTTTTCCATTTAGCTCCTCCCTACACCGAAACAGCACCTCAATCTGGACGGTGGCCGCCAAAGTGCTCAAGATGACGGGAGCCGAACCGCTTTTGAGCATGTCCACCTTGGCACACCCATCGAAGGCGAACGCGGGCATCATCAGCGTTGGTCCGCCCGATATGTTGGCGCCAAAAGGCAGCTCTCAGCAGCAAGCAACGCAGTTCTACAACAGAACAGCCTTCGCCTGCATGACTGCTCTCAAGAAACAGCGCAACCCATCTAACTACTCACTCGAAGTGGCTTCTCTTGCGTGGCGTCTTGAGGAGCTCGTCTACTCCCACACAGTGATGTCTGGCCTGCCGAAGCGCCGTGTACAACCTCTCAAAGCGCAACCCGAGGTTTTTAGTTTCCTTGGCGAGTTTTTTCCTAGCAGCGGCTCTGCGCTATACATTGGTAGTCACACAGACGTCTTGGTCCACTCTCCGGTCTTCTTTGACGCCCTGATTAGCCTGGTGCACTCTACTGAACCGTACATCCTCATGAACTACATCGGAGTTAGGTTAATGATTGCGGTGGCTGCTTTTGCGCCTTCCTCGGGCCGGGTTCTTGTGCAGACTATGGTGGAACACCAGTATGGCAGAGCACGACCCTCACTGCCCCGCTGGAAACTGTGCATCCGTGCGGTAGAAAAGGCGATTCCCGACTTGTTTTTGCACGCAGTGCGGCTCGCCTACAAGACCCAGTTCGCCATGGACTCTGTGAAGAGGCTGCTGGATTCGGTCAGGCAGTCACTTGCCGGTGACTTAGCCAAACTAACCGTGCTTGATCGAGAATCGCGCGCCCAGGCTTTGGGAATGCTAAATGTTACACAGTTTCGGCTTTTTAGGCCGTCATGGCTGACCAACAAGGAAAAACTGGAGAGCTATGTGAGGGCACTACCTCGCGTAGTGCGAGGCCAGAACCTGCGGTCCTTTCACGCACTTCACAGTCACAGTTTCACGGAAAGGCTTCGCCGAGATGAGCCCGACCGGTGGCAGGGTTCAGCTTTTGACCGCGATTGCAGTCATGACGGAAAGGTGGTGTTTGTGCCTGTCCTCCTTTTTAACTTTTCTGTGTTCAACCCCGGCGCTGACCAGAGCCTAGAGTTGCCACATGCCGGCGTGCGCCTTGCTCGTTGCTTGCTGCAGCTGCTACTGGCCAACGTGTCTCAGGACGCGACTGCCGCCGGCGGACGCCTCTGGTGGCCCGACATGTCCAGCTCGTTCCTAGCCGTCTCCCAGCTCTGCTTTCACCAGTACGGCCTGCTGCATGTCGGCTCCCTCCAGTTGCTCGAGTACACGGCCGCCATCAAGCCCGCCACGGATCTGTACCAGGAGGACAAGCGAATCGACATTCGCTTCGAAACGCTTCCAGCTTACAGTGCCGTGCACCTGTTTTTTGTTTATTATGCCCTTTCTTTCTGTCAAGAGTCAAAATCGGACAACACCACCACGGTGGCTAGTTATTTGACCAACGTGCCACTCTGGAACAACCGACTGTTTCAGGAAACTTTTCGTTGCCCTGTTGGTTCCAACATGAACCCTTCCAATAAGTGCGTTCTCTGGCGGGAAGTTCACTAGATAGTCCGAGTAACTGTATTGAGTGCAATCATACCTATGCGGTTTTCGCGAACGTTCGTCGGTGCGTTTTTGCTTGAACAGATTTATTTTACCCGAGCTACGGTAGAGCTGGCGTTGACAGTAATAGCGTGAATCATATAAAGTCACGTTAAAACTTGAAGGAATTGCTGCGCTGCCATTTTAGGTACGCTGAAGGACCGAGAACTCGCAAAAGATTACAACGGTGTTGTCATCAAACGAAGTAGAACCACCGTTGTCGAATTCGGGCGGATATATATGCACGTTGAAAAACGTTAAGCGTTCTGCAATGGTTGTTACCGTATCAAGGTGTGTAAATAAAAATCATGGTTAAATAGACGTGAAGATAAAGCTTCAAACGCACCATTGCATAGCACGTGTCCGTTTAGAAGTGCTGTCAGTGTTTTAATAACATACGTAACATCTCATAAAACGAGAAGCGCGCAGGCGATGGCTTGTTTTTGACACAACTGACTATGATGAAATTGACATCTCTACTCCTGTTCCCCTGCTTGGTGTGATTGAAATTAGCTGCAACAAAACGCGCGTTTAAACCTGAATCACGGGTTTAACGTGGAATCTGCCGTCAAATACATCAATTTTAAAATTGGCAGTGACAAACTGTGACAAAAGCCGAAATTAATTTCGTTAAAAACATTTGTCTGCACAGTCCACATTACAAGTAAGCTCAAACCGACCTTGAACCTATCTTGCTGCTTGTTTTTTTTTTTTTTAATAGCAGTGGCGTCATGTAGTACATACGTAAAGTGTTGGTTACACAGCACACCGGCGGACGGTTCGCTTTCACCCCACCAGGCGACTGTGGAGCACAGACTAGTTAGTATACGACAGCGTACGGTTCGCCAACTAGTTCAAGGGGGATCAAGTGATGATCAAGAGTTGCCGGCAGACGTCAATGGCGAAACTGCGGTGTACTTGCCTTTCCTTTAGCGCGAACATGGTATGCCTACTTTTTCGCATTTTACTCGGATAGTCTAGTGTCGGACCACCTCATTTGGTGGCTTACAAGAATCCATTCCACTAAACCAGCATTTAAAAATATTTCAGGTGTTATAGGAAAACCGAAAAAACCCGAGGGTTTTGTGTCCAGTTTAGCTGTGTCGCTCACTCTACAGTGGTACGTCTAGCTGTGATCAGAGCCGTTTATACTGAGAGAGTTTGGCCTTCTTAAGGAGATTTTGGCAGTCTGACAACCACAGCAGCGTAGTCTGACAACCGGGGGATGACTACTTCCGTCCGCCATATTGTGGATCTGCCTCATAGGAACTCTACGCGATTTCACAGGAATGAACAAGACAAAGAAGTAACGCCATATTGTGTTATCGCGAAATCCGCTGGTTCTAGCGGCCAACAAGCTCCGCCCATCGGCCAAACTCTCTCAGTATAAACGGCTCTGGCTGTGATCGTTGCAAGTTTTTATTTTTCCTTCCGTAGCACTTGTGGGTAATGCATAGTTATAACGCTGTGACTAATTAGTCACATAAATTTATCGAACCTAGATTAACGTCGTGAAATTTTTGTTTTGTTTTTGTATTTATTTATGTTAAGCTCTTTGTGGAAATTTACTGTTCTAATTTGCTGACACAAATTCCTCAGAGTCCCACACACAACAACCGGTGTGCAAACGTCCTTCTACGTTCAGCGGATTTCTAGTCGTCATAATCCAGTGCTAGTATGAGGAGGGTATATAGTTGCCATGTAAGCATGTAAGTCACTCGAATATTATTTTTTGGTGTAAGAAAGACTTCCTCTCGTCCCTTTGCAAGCTACATTACCTTCAATATTTTTTCGTACTTCTTCGTGTCTCTGCATGGTTATCGTTCTTCGTAGTCGTTTAAGTTCTATTGAATCTTGTGATGCATTTTCTCCTGCGGAAGGTTCGTTAAAAGGGCATATATTTCACCATGCGACTACCGGGGTTGTCGACGCATATTACAATATCTTTCCTCACCCTTTTATGTTTCGATCGTGTTATGTTTGAAAAAAAAAAGTCAAATTTGGGGGTTTTACGTGCCAAACCTACGACGGGCATCTGGCACGCCCCAGCGGAGAACTGAGGATTAATTTCGACCACCTGGGGATCTTTTGACGTGCAACCGAAAGCTCGGTTACACGGCGCCTTCTCCGCAATAAGCCTCCGTCATATTGCGGGCACCTCGGTCGGGATTCGAACCCGCCTGTTATGTTTGAAGCATTTTAGTGTTTGCGTGAGCCAGTACCAAGACCGCGGGGTTTGTTTCTTGGCACCGTGTAACACGTATTCTTGCATACCGCTATATCATTCGGTGCTGTGCCCGTTAAAGAAGAAAGAGAGTTTCAGGGAACCGTTTTTGCACAGCCGATACGGTGCGATGGGTCCTCCGGTACGCACTGCGCATGCGCGAGTCTCATGCGGTAGCCCATGCGCACTTCGTACAGGAGGGCTCATCGTACCATATTGGGTGTGCAGAAACGATACCCTTAAACTCTCTCATAGGTAACGAAGTAGCGTTACTCGTTAGATGGTAAAAATTAACGCGTTATGAGATTCGTTATGGTCCGGAAATTGTGACAAGATACCGTTACCATTACTCAAAATAAATAACGTTACGTGTTGCGTTTTTTTTTTTTTTTTTTTTTTGGGGGGGGGGGGGGGGGGAATTTCGGAATTAATTAGAGGCAATAAGCCGCGGATACAAACAGTTAAACTTCGACAGGGTGATTTCATTATGTGCTATACGAGATTCTTTTTTAATCGAATACAGACTTTTTTAAGAAACGCAGTGAAAGATAGACAAATTCGGTCTGCAAAAGTGAGTTATATGGCCAGGCGGACATTATGTTCAAGAGGTAATTCGACGCGAATACATTAGTAAGGGATAGGCTACGAAAAAACAGCGTCTATGTGGGAAAGTCCTGACTATCCCTACACCTTTCTTTACAATGCATAGCGCAAGTTCGTCTGCTTCTTGCATAGGGATTACGATGACGTCATAACGCCGAGCTCTTATTGGCTGATTGAAAAAAAAATATAGTGGGTAGACCTCGAGGCATCTACCATTGAGGTCTACCCACTATCCTTCTAACAAAAGCCAATCAGAACACGGCGTCGTTTTGACGTCACCGGAACCCCCGCGCGAGGAGCAGACGACTTCCTCTTCGCATATAGATCCTCAGCTCAATTTACGTGCTCCACGAGGAATTCTAAGAGCAATCGAGACAGTATTACATCGTCCAAGACTTAAAGTTGCACACACCAACAATTGCCTTCATCAAATAGGTGAATCCGACTCTTCCGAATGCATATCACGAGGAAAAGTCTATGACATCCAACACGTGCTCTGCGATTGCATAGAATGCAGCCTTGAAAGGAAGGCAATGAAAACCCGATTGAGACTGACGGATGACCAGCAAATAGACCTTCATGGTCATGTTCATGCCGATCGTGAACTGCCCGTTTTGAGTCGCGCTCACTCTCTACTCCATGGTCACGTGCCGTTTTCTATGGTTTAGACACAACCACCAAACATTGTTGTCTGTATGTTTATACAGCCGGAAGTTAGTCTGCCTCAGTGGGCGTCTGGTGTCTCAGCTGCAGATGAGCAATTTAGCCAGTGCGGTACAACCGCTAGCCTGGGGTCTTTAACGTGCACCACGCAGTAGGGATACACGACCGCACGCCGGTACGATGCTCATCCAGATCGAAACGGGCGGGGGCAGGGATTGTTCTGCAGCGCGAGCTTTCGCTCCTGACTTGTTCCAGTAACATTAGACAAAGCTAAGACGTGCCTGATCCAAGAGACACCGATTTACCCGTTCCAAAATAAAAAAGGCGAAAAAATATTTAAAGAACGCATCGGGACGCCAGATCTTTTAACGTCACCACGCAGAGATAAGAGAGGCATACCCTAGCGGTGGTGGCATGAATCTGCTACTTTCGATAGTCTTGCGGCGTTAAATCTGGCCGATTTCAGACGTCGAAAGGTGTTTTTTCATTCTTCAGCACTACACAGAAAGATAAAAGCTCAGTGAAGGTGCCATAAGGAGTGCGAGGCCAAGTAAACTGAGTTTGTACTACCCAAAATGAGGGCGCCACAGTATGTTCGCAGCTTCAGCGCTGGTGGCCTATTCTGAGTTTAGCGGTCTTTCGGGCGTTGATTCAGAGCACGGTGTAAGATACACTCTTTAGGTGAGGACACGGCGGGGCTGATTGCGTGGCGCGAGGAATCAGATAGTGTTCGTTCGACGGGCATCCGAAAGGCTGCATTATTCCGCGGCCACCGTGCCCGCGGCTGACAGTGTCGCCGGCGGCCAAACGGCGAAACTATGTGAGAGCGAAAAGAATTATCTTAGCTCCATGACACCCCGGTACACCGTGGTCTTTCTGCACGAGCGACAACCTCGCTGGAGCTCTGCGCGTGTGGAGCATGTGGCGGCACGAGCCGTCTTTGCCGTGCCCACGGGTCGACGAGTCATCTGCCGGCGCTGCTTGGAACCATAGTGAGAGAGAGTGAAGAGAGAGAGAGTGAAAAGCGAACTTTATCTACACTGCGCGAGGAGCGCGCTGTCCTCACCTGAAGAGTAATATCTTATATCGTGATTCAGAGCGAGAAGCGCGTGCCTCACACGTAGTGGCCCGTACTCGGCTTGTGCTGGGACCACTTTCGAACAGTTGACTCCAGGATTTTGAATAAAAAAGTCGACAGTAGCCCGTATCTTTCCTCGCCCTCAGCATTGCCTGCGAGGACCGCCTTTCCCGGGTCTTATCTTCAATTCGCCTCCCACCCGACCGTGACCCCGGCTGAAGCAGCAGAAGCTGATTTATCCCGACAGCGACGAGGCAAGACATCGCCACCACCGGCGTTCAAGGCTATCCACGTATCCCTGCGCCGGTACACGACAGCACCTCTCGGTTCACCCCCTCACTGTTAACATCGGCCACCTCTAAAAGACAAAATGACGACGAGGGTGGGATTCGAAAA